AAATATAGTTTTAATATATATATATATATATATGAAGAAATATAGTTTTAAGGTGTGTTATATATGGGATAAAGTGCTCAATATCAGAGATAGAGCGTATGTAAATATAAATATAAAATGAACATTAGTCATCTTCAATATAACCCTATTAAAAAGACCATATATTTGTATGTTTTAGTATTATATATATATATATATATATATATATATATATATATATATATATATATTATAAATTAATTGATTTAAAATATGTTTTTTTTCGCTACACAGTTCCAACCATGTTTCAAAAATAGAAGCTAAAACCCTGAATTTAATTTTGCAATTAAATTAAAAGCATTAGTTCCATTTCATCTTCAAGCGAATTTTGGAGTAACTTTTAAAATTACCGGGTTTTAAAGACACAGCTAAAATCACGTTTCCATGGTTACAGAATATTCTACTTAAATTGAACAAGGGATGTCTAGATTTTCCTTATGTCAGTATCATTGTATCAGTTATTAGCTACAATTTGGTAAGGGGTAGGGATGTATTTTACAATGAAACCTGAATGGATGTCGTCTGAATTTAATTTTCGGTTTTTTTTTTTTTTTTCTTTTCCTAATACTTTTTTTTAACTACTTTTTTTTGAAATATTTTGAAATATTTTTAATTTTTTTATTTTACTATATTCTTTTTTAAGAACAGTTAAATGTATTAGAATCCATCATATTATGTAGGATTATTTTAACATCAAGTTTAAGTATGTATATGAGGTTACATTTTTTTTTTTTTTTAATTTATGACTATGGCGGCAAAAATGGTTACTTAATTTCACTGATTTAGTAAACTTTTATTTTATATATAAACCTAGTAATATAATGTTTCTCATGTAAGTACTAAGGACATGGGTCATTCAAAAGCTTACATCTTATGGCATTTCATATTAATTTTATTTTACTATAGGTGTTTTTTTTGGATTCTTTTTAGTGCGTGTAGTATTATTTAAAAGAAATTTAGGTTAGAATTCATTCAATTTAAATACAATTTTAATTACAATTTCAAAATTACAACTTTAAAATTTTAAAATATTTTTATTGTTTAGTTTTAATAGACTATATTACTTTATAACAGAAGGAAAATTACTCATAGTAAGTAAAATTATTTTCCATATCAAAGTATATGTAAATTACATTTTTTTTTTTTTTAAATTTAAATATTATTTAAGTAATATTAATGGCACTTACTACAAAACTAGCTAAGTCATTTCTCAGATTTAGTAAACTTTTTTTTTATTTATATACATACATATATATATATATATATATATATATATATATATATATATATATATATATATATATAAAAAGATACAAATATATGGTCTTTTTAGTAGGGTTATATTGAAGTTGACTAATCTTATCAACATATTCATTCTTTTCTTTCAAAATGATATTGGTCGAGGAATATGTAGTTCTCTTTTGTAAACGATGGAAGTTCCCGTCCCGAGGATTTTGACTCTGCACCAGACAGGAATTTTGGTGCATACAGACGCCAGCGTGACACTGCTCACGGTAACTGGGCAATTTGGGACCGTTAGCCTACGCGCATGTCTCTCCACATTAAACCGAACGTAAGAAAGTCTTGTCTTTTGTCAATTAAGACTGAATAGTCAGTTCGTTCCCACACTTTCGGTCTTATGCCACATCTAAGCTGCGTTTAGAAAATTACCACATAAACTACCAACATGAAAAGGTGGGTAAATTTCCCATGCAGTTCTAAAGAATAAATATAAAAAATACATATTAAGTCGAATGACGTAGCGCAGTAATTAACAGGGGGGTCTTCAAAAGCATTCGTTTATGAAGTGAGTTAGATATTCAGTGGTTATTGCGACAGAGATGTGGTTCTATAGAAGAATGCTAAGGATATCTTGAACTGAGCGTGTGAGCAACAATAAGGTCTTAGAGAGGTCGCAAACAAGGAGGAGGCTTATAGTTAACATCAGGAAGAGGTAGCTGAAGTTTCTGGGGCACATAATGAAGAAGGAGGGCCTAGAGAATCTGATACTCACGTGTCGAATGGAGGGAAAGAGTGACAAGGGAAAACAATTGATGATAGCTAGCGGGCTTAAGCAAGTGGATGACAGAATGTGGTCTGGGAGAGGTACCAAAGGGAAGGAACTTAAGAGCTGCAAGGGATAGAGGGAGGTGGAGAGCCATGATCGCCTACGTCCTGAAAAAACATGGCACATAAAAAGAAAGAAAAAAAGACGGAACAAAGCCGCAGATAGGGAGCAATCTGTGATTATTGGACTCCCTGCGAGAATAACTTAAAAATTACGCTACAGCAGTGGCTCCCAAATGGTGCGGTCGCCTACTAGGCTAGCAGGTGAAGCGGAAGTGGTTAGCAGGTGAAGCGGAAGAGGTTAGCAGGTGAGGCGGAATGATTGAAAGAAAATCAAGGATTTAGAAACAGTTTTAAAAATTCATATGCCAAAAATAAGTATTCCAAATTACTTGTAATTGCATTATCTGTCTATATTTCTGAGATGAGGTATTATGTACACTATTTACATTATCCGTTCTATTGTCCTCATCTTTGTTGCCATATTTATTACAACGTTTCGGCTTTTCAGTATCTGTCTATATTTCTGAGATGAGGTATTATGTACACTATTTACATTATTCGGACTATTGTTCTCATCTTTGTTGCCATATTTATCGCAACGTTTCGGCCGTTGTACGCTCCAGCCTTCTTCAGTTAATCTTCGGTTAAGGTTCGAATCCTGTCGGAGGATGAATATTTTCTGTGAAAATTTCTCGGACATTCAGGCCGGTAAATGTTGTTTAATACTGTTTATTATAAAAAGAGCATTTACTTAAATATTTGTATCTATAAAAAATGTATAAACATAAAAATGTCTTAAAATAATTGTCGGACTTTGTCCATTTTCTAATGTGTGACATCATTTGTTTACATTTGGATACGCTTTGAGCAGATATGAAGGTACGTGAGAGATTCATGGAAGATTGAAGTTTAAAGTCAGTAAATTCGACCTTGCTAACCGAACGCTCCTCTTTAGCCAAATCGGTTAAGGCACGTCAAGTTAAATGACGGTTCCGTATAGGATACAGGTTCAAATCCTGTCGGAGGACGAATATTTTCTGTGAAAATTTCTTGGACATTCAGCCCGGTAAATGTTGTAATTATTTACTTAAATATTTGTATCTATAAAAAGAATGTATAAACATTAAAATGTCTTAAAATAATTCTCGGACTTTGTCGTCCATTTCATAATATATATATATATATATATATATATATATAATTTGAGGAAATATATATATATATATATATATATATATATATATATATATATATATAAGAAACCATATATATATATATTGAAGAAACCATATTTTTATATATATATAAGAAAACATATTTATATATATATAAGAAAACATATATATATATATATATATATATATATCGAAGAATATATATATATATATATATATATCGAAGATATATATATATATATATATATATATATCGAAGAAATATATATATATATATATATATATATATATATATATATATATAAAGAAGAAACCATATTTTTAAAACCAGTTAATATATATAAAAATAAAGAGAAATAACAGTAAGATTTATAATCCAGTGTTCTTATTAATTATTTTTATTTTAAAAAAACAGTGCACAATACATTTCTGCAGGGCATAAAGATTGAATTTCTCTGTATCCTTAGAAAATAATATTAAGAATCTATACGCTTATGAACCTCAGTAAATTTCACAATAAGTTGTTCCAAAATTGGCTTGAAAATGAAACAGTACTGAGGATTTTAATTTAATTCTATAATTAAATTTTAAGTTTTTAAAACATGATAATTCCTCTGTAGCGATGGAACCATATTTTTAATTAGTAAATTTTAATATATATATATATATATATATATATATATATATATATATATATATATATATATATATATTACTAAGGAAATGTTTCTTAAAAATGAGAATAAAAGCTAAGAACTTTTGGAATCCAAAATTCGCTTCAAGATGAAACGGAAATTAATGTTTTTAATTTAATATAATTGAATTTGAAGTTTTTGGTTTCTGTTTTTGAAACATGGTAATTCCTATGTAGCGATGAAACCATATTTTTAATTCAGTTAATTTATAATATTTATGCAGTGTAAATTTACTTTGAGCACTGTTTTGTAAAAATAAAAATATCAATAAGAACACCGGATTACATATCTTACAGTTCTTTTTTTTTTAATTTATAATATATATATATATATATATATATATATATATATATATGTGTGTGTGTGTGTGTGTGTGTGTGTGTGTGTGTGTTTTTTTTTTAGTCTGGCAGGGGGATCACATCAGTGGATAATACAGAGAGGATCGAAATCATCGTACTAATTTTGACTTTGAAACATGGGATACTAAATGCTTTATGGCGAGGCTGTATTTGTAGCAATGTGTGTAGTAAGACTGAGCCATAAGCACTTGTATGTTGTAAACATACTAAGCACAAGCTAGCAAAAGACATCCATGAAAGCCAACATGACTACACTTCTTCCCACGTACACACCGAGTCTCACCTGATAGCTTTTGATGAGAATAGAATTGACTTGAAATCTTATCAATTTCATTTAATCAATATTTCCAGTTTTATGTTCAGTTGCATCTTCAGTTCACGAATGAAAGGGAAGATGGTTGGCTCGATGACGGTTGTGGGTGAAAGATCAAACTGGATTTACTTCCGGTACTTGCGCAGTAGCACTGCTTCCGGCTGCGCATCATAACAAGCTAAGTTGGAATAACAAATGGAGACTCTCTCACGGTTTAATGGACGACATTTGTCAGGAACTTAACTGAGAAGAGCGTGTTGTTTCGATGATTGTCTACACCAATAAACTAATCAATGTATAGATAGATGGGCAGATATTGTTCATTTAGCCATTAATACAACGCATATCTATGTCTTTATTGATTGCTATTTCTCATATTCAATTCCTGACGAATCAATTCTCAACCGTGTTCAGGCTCTTCATTATCTATCTATCTATCTATCTATCTATCTATCTATCTATCTATCTATTCAATATGCCTGTCTATTTACAAGTACTTCAATCTGTTCAGAAACATACGCGCGCGCGCACACACACACACACACACACACATATATATATATATATATATATTAGTTTTTCGACGGTTTTTTAGTAGCTTTCCCAGTTTCATTTATATTTCTGACACAAACTCAGTCTATACCGGGGTTGAAATAAGCTTATTTAAATATAGGTGATAAGATTTTGATATATTTTATATATATATATATATATATATATATATATATATATATATATATATATATATATATATAGCCTGACGATTGCATCTAGCATGAAACAGACTGTCGGCTCTAAGTGTTGACTTCTATGTTCTTTTATATTTTACACGCTCTATCTCTGATATTGAGCACTTTATCCCATAAATTTAAGGCTATATTTCTCCATATATATATATATATATATATATATATATGTCAGGAAGAAGACTTCCTGATGTTATCGGAATGAATCGAGATCGATTCCAGCGTCCTGTACCTTTGGTAAGTGCCTGAAAACCATATCATAGGTTGAGTCAAACCTTGTGAGTGAAATTGAGTAGACGGAACTCTTGTGGGCCGTCGATAGCTGTGCTAACACGAAGTCACAAGTCATATTAATGTTGAGGGCTTGAGCTTGCTGGCCTTGTTCAAATTGTTGATCACGCTAGATAACACGCTCTTTCCCAGAAACTGTAACTAAGGTCTGCTCAGCATAGTTGCAGTAAAAACCACAGGTGGGCTTTGTGCGTGTTGTTGAGCAAACACAAATGTGCAATTTGAACGAGCGTCTACAACAGGGATTGGCTAGTCCCCACCTAGTAGACGGGTACACTCGAATACGAGTGGCCAGTTATTATATATATATATATATATATATATATATATATATATATATATATATATATATATATAGTTCCCCCAAAATGTATATTTTGTGTCATGGAATATCATTGATCACTTTTTTCTCTTCAATGTCTATTTATCTCATATTGAGTAATATATAATATAGAGCAGTTTGATTACACGTACCATTTTATTTCATCTGAGCGGGGTACCTCAATAAAGATAAATTTATTTTTTGCTGGCACACAGAACGTGAAAAAAGGACTGTCTTAATACACTTTATAATTAAAAAAACAAACTATCCCTACTTTCGTTGTGACTCAGTAGACTCTTGCTAATGTCGCGTTAAATATAGATGAGTCACATAAAAAAAATGTCCTCTTCTTTTTAAGAAGCGATGTCAAAAGACGATCACGCTCCTTATAAAACCACAAACCAATCAGTTTTTCGCATAGAGTATTGCATTCCTTGTTATCGCTGCTGTGCGCCTGCTTCTTGTAAATCATAATTTGACATCTTTTCTATGACACACGCGCATCCACGTATACGCATGTGCGCGGGCACGCGCGCGAGAATTTATGAACCAAAGCGCATTATCCACGTGTCTCTATCGATTCGTAAAAATTAATCGATTTTATGGCAGCCTTGTTTGCATGGATTCTAGACATTTTGTGTATTTATTAATGTAAAGATTCATTAATCCTCCATGTAAGCCATTAACCGAGGCAAGGTTACTTGGCATTGCCAAGATTAGAACACATGTCAGATTATCATTTAATTTTACCGAAAAAAACGGAAAACATTTTTTTTTTAAATGAGAAAACAAAAAGGTAAAAACGATTATTGTTTAAAGTGTACGAATTAAATTTATTGAAAAATAAGACAGTAAAAAGAGTACTGAGCTGCTATATATCTGCGTATGTGGGGAAAGAATTTTGAAAAAAATAAGAAAAGTCTAAAAACATCCGAGTAGACCGAAAAAAATCGTTCCGTGTCGTAATTTCTAGTCCAAACAGAAAAACGCCAATTGACTAAAATAAGAAAAAACGAAAAGTGCACTGTACAATAAAGTTTTTTATATAGTATATATATATATATATATATATATATATATATATATATATATATATATATATATATATATATATATTTTAATGCATGTTTCATTAAATGATATAGACAAGTTTTGTCTATTTATTTTAAGTAAGTTCCTTTCATATTGTCTGATAAGCTTAATCCCATTATCGTTGAAAGACGAAAGGAAAACACCATATTGATACATGTTTAAATTCAATCTAAGATTTCGGCTTACACAAGCCATTATCAAAAATGACAAATTCACTGAATCAAACAACACACCAACGAAACAACAATGATAGTTCGCCCTTGCTGCACGAACATTTCCAAGTATTAAGTATGGTAAGCCGTTGGTATAAACAAATGGCTTCTGTTATAAATTTTAGGCATTTAAGGATATTTGTGGACATTTCATATTTTATTTTGTTCAGGTTAGGTTTCAACTATTTTATGTATAAAGCTTCAAGAATTTTTAATTTTTGTCTATTGTTTTCATGTTTAAGTCTAGTAGTGTCGTCAACAATGGTCAGGAATGTTGTTTTAAATGCCTAAAAATTTTATCATTTAAATGTAGAGTCAATATTTTAATGTAGAATTATCATTTAAATGTAGAGTCAAGCACCGTGAAAGCGAGTTTGTCGTGTGACCAATATAAATATTATATATATATATATATATATATATATATATATATATATATATATATATATATATATATAAAAACCTTAGTATCTACAATAGATTTAAATGTCCAGATCAAAAAAATATTAAAATATCAGCAGAAGAAATCGGCACCATTTTTCACGTTACTGTCAAACAAGTGTGCATCTCTCTCCTTTTCTCTCTCTCTCTCTCTCTCTCTCTCTCTATATATATATATATATATATATATATATATATATATATATAGATAGATAGATAGATAGATAGATAGATATAAACATACCTGTGTGTGTGGTGCATATACATATATATATATATATATATATATGCATATATATAGTACAGGTAACATATTCGTTGGTATATAATCCAGAAAAAGAGAACGATTTAATTATTACAGTAGAGCATATAAATTACACAATAAATCTAAAATTACCTTAACTTGGACACTAGTCGAAAAATTTATATCGAAAAGTTAAATTGTAAATTTCTAATTCCGTCTAGAACACAGCCGATAAACATACAATAACTAGAGTCTATATATATACACTTCTCCCTGTCTCTCTCTCTCTATATCTATATATATATATATATATATATATATATATATATATATATGTATGTGTGTGTGTGTGTGTGTGTGTGTTTGTATGTTTGGGGAGAGAGAGATACAAAAAATAAAATAAAAAAAAAGTGTAAGAAAATAATGTAAAACCTCCAAAGAGGAACTATTGATAGAAAGGGATGACAATTGGTTGGTGGGGAAGAGAGAAACAAAGGAAAAGGACAAGTGTTCCAGAATAAAGGTGAGATGAAGAAAGGCTATGATGGATGAGAGAGCTACATAACGAGAGTTTAAAGGGGAAAATCAGACGAGACATTGGCTTGGCGGATTTAAAAAAGAATTAATAATCTAAGACGCTAGACAAAGCGAGAAGTTGTTTGATGGTATCTTGGTGAGAAATAGAATGTTGAATTCTATCTGGCCAAATCGGAAAAGAAAATGAAGATGAAAAATATAAAAAATAAATTAAAAGAAACGTCATCACATCATAAGAATATTTGTTTTGGTAAAACATAACTGACGTGATTCTTTTTGTTAACTAAACACCATATTGTCCCGTCCTGGGTAAGACGATAAACTACGTCCAACATCAAGTACTCTGATCAGGAGGTTTTGGAGAGCGTGGAACCACCCCTCACTTGCTGGTGTTCCCAGGTCCACCCTGACCAGGAGTGGTAGCACCTGTTAGGGTCCCAACTAAATAGTTAGCCCCCAAAGTGGGGTTAAAACACTATGAAAATGAAAAAATAAATTTTTAAGGAAAAATATTACCAGCAATACATTATTACTAGCAATATATTTTTGAAGAAAATAAATGTTACCAACAGTACATTTTTGAGGAAAATATTACCAGCAATACATTTTTGTAAATAATTATTACCAGCAATACATTATTACCAGCAATACATTTTTCAAGTAAAAAATATTACCAGCAATACATTTTTGTAAATAATTATTACCAGCAATACATTTTTCAAGTAAAAAATATTACCAGCAATACATTTTTGTAAATAATTATTACCAGCAATACATTATTACCAGCAATACATTTTTCAAGTAAAAAATATTACCAGCAATACTTTTTCGGAAAAATATTACCAGGAACAAAAATCTTGTCGGCATTAAACCATTGAGGTTGATATTCCGTAAACCAAACCAAACCAAACCATATTGTATTGAAGAGTGTCACGATTTATTCAGCAATTATTACAGAGCCAGGTTTGAATTAGTACTATTTTAAAGATTTCAATTAAACAACATGAAAATAAAATAAAATTTTGCTATTTTGAGGAATTGAAATATCGCGGACTTTTATAAGGAGTAGAACATTAAACGATATCTGCAAGCCACATGTCGTCAGCAGATCCAAATTCATTCCTTTTTCTAATTGGTCTCAAAGTAGTTCTGTATTTGCCAACAACTCCAAGGAACATTTACATGTGGTCACTTATCATGGTCTTATCAATGGCCTTGTAGATCACTAATATTAAATAATTAATTTAATCCTGACTAGGTGCCTCGTTGATGCAGGTTAGGTTTAAAAAGAAGCATTTACAGGTGTCAGATATGAAAGTATAACAGTTCATCTGTACTGCATCGTCATTATTTTGAGAGTAGAGAGAAAAAACATTATGAGAGAAGCTGTGTGGAAGTTACAATGAGGGAGGCGAGAGAGTGATTAAAAGATAAAGGGAGGTATACAGATACGTAGTAGGAGAGAAAGACAAAAGCAACGAAAAAATGAGCTAAGAGAGAGAGAGAGAGAGAGAGAGAGAGAGAGGGAGAAGAGAGAAAAAGGGAAGTAAAGAAACAAAGAAGAGGGGGTTAAACTAGGAAAGGGATTGTGAATAATATTAGTAGAGAAGTGAGAATTGCAGAATATAAAAAATAGAAAGCTTGCTAATTCATGGTCCTCGTTTTTTTACTTCCGTTCTTAAATTAAAAAAAATGCTTTATTCTTAAGTCTACTTTATCAGAACTTTCATTAAATCTGGGCTTTCGCTTCATTAAACCAAGAAAGATACACCGGTAAATACGATTTCACTGGACACACCTACTTTACATCCGGTCCAGCATTAAATGGAGACTAAATCCTTGGTTCAATTTCCGGTTGTATTTACTTACAAGATGTATGTATATGAGAAATATATAAATGCACACACACACACACACACACACACACACACACACACACATATATATATATATATATGTGTGTGTGTATTATCAGAAATTTCCCAAACGAGTATCTTCTGGCAGACTCTGTAAGTGATTTCAGTTATGTAAATGGACTTATTTGTTTGTTGATGGACGCCAGAGAAGAGTTAATTTTATTTTTCAACATTTTCTAATATGTTGTTCGTCATTTTTCTCATGATCTTGAACTGACGCTCAACCAGCCTTTTAATATGCTACTTAAAAGAAAAAAGAAAAGAAAAGAAAACTGTACCCGACCTAAATAATGTTTGCAAACGTCTGACAAAAAATTTACAGTGACTCGGTAGAAAATCTGTCGAGCTTCACCCCCCCCCCAATTTGATGCGGCAATTTCCCCGAATTTGTGAGCTATTTTAAAAAGTCTTTCAAAGCAAGTTCTTTAGTAAAAAGAAAATTAATAGAAAAAAAATGAAGAATTCTGTTATTATTTACTTTTGTCGTATTTTTCCAGTGAAACATGACCCAGTGCACATGTTAGTACTTCGTATGTCCATTCTACGAAGTCGTACCTTGCAGATTGATCACAGATTCTAGATTGGATTTAAATCAGGAGAGTTTCCTGGTCAGTCTATACGTTATAGGCCGAAACGTTGTGAATATGTCAGTGAAGATGAGGATAACAGTCCGAATAAAGTAAATAATACCAGTAATCGTAATACCTCATCTCAGAGATATAGAGGCCGAAACGATGTGAATATAGCAATGAAGATGACGATAACAGTCCGAATAATCTAAATAATGCAAGTAATAGTAATACCTCATCTCTGAGATATAGAGGTCGAAATGTTATGAATATGGCAATGAAGATGAGGATAACAGTCCGAATAATCTAAATAATGCAAGTATTCATAATACGTCATCTCCGAGATATAGAGGCCGAAACGTTGTGAATATGTCAATGAAGATGAGGATAACAGTCCGAATAATTTAAATAATGCAAGTAATCTTAATACCTAATCTCAGATACCGATTAGACAATCTAGAATCCTACTGAACGATCATACTCATAAAGAGGCTCCTTTGCCTCGTACGACTATAAACCACAGACCGCTAATAGAAATTTGTATATTCCTTCCATTGCTGAAGATGTTGGATTAATGATTGAGTCCTTGTATGGTTCCAGAAGTGCTGAATAAAAAACCCTTTTTCGGGTTTAAAACAAATCAACTCAACTAAAATTCACAGAAATAAAGGCGACATAATTTTAAAACTGAACTTCTAAAATTTGAATTCATTTGATGGAATCATTGTAAATAAAAGAAATAGTGGAAAATCTAACTTAATATTTGGTCTTCAGAAGAAATACATAAACCAAATATGAATCAGGCTCTGAATTTCTCTTGAACTTTACGTGAGTACTGGGTTTCTGTAACTTGAATATCAGTTTGTAGTGAGTTTAATCGCCAACAGACAAACTCTTCACCGACTTTACGCTTATAGACTTGCCAACAAAAGAAATATTTGTAAAATATTGACTTGCAAGGAGTATTAAAGCGGTCCAAGAAAAGAAATAAGAAAGCAAGCAACCAATTTGATTAGAAATTGTAAGAAAAGCAATATGGAAGAAGAGTTAGAAACATTTCTATTTCTGTTGCTTTTATTTGTATATTCCTTTTCAAGAGGGAGCAAAATGTTCAGTTTGTTTCCAAGCATGAGACTTGAGACTGTGGATTCCTTTTCAGTTTACAAAGAAATATATTAAATGAAGCGAGGAAGAATTAAATAGAATTCAATCGACGATATCACATTCGCCATTTTTTGGTTTCACTTCATACAAGACGAAAAAGGGGTGAGTGAGAAATAAAGAAAAAAATAATTCTACGACTACAAATATTTTCTCACATAATCCACAAGCACGGAAAATATTACTTTCAATATGAAGATTTAAACCCAGCACCTCCTTTTCTATCTCTCTCTCTCTCTCTTTCTCTCTCTCTCTCTCTCTCTCTCTCTCAAACACACACACTCTATCTATTGTTCTATATCTCCTATATATTTCTATGTATATGTGTGGGTGACATGTAGCTGTGTGTGTGTTTGTATATATGTGTTTGTGTTTTAGCTTAACCAAAGGCATTTAATATTCTTTTGATTGATTGATTCATTTTCTATGGCTTGTCAACCCTTTTCGGTTATTTAAAGCCAGAAAATATTTGTAGATTGTAAGAATTTATTTTTAGAGATAATAATGTTTTAGTGATACAAGCCTTACTAATTAACCCATAGCTGGTGGGAAAAGATGTGGATTCATACCTAATTAGCAATTCATAAACAAACAAGAAATTGTAATGTGGATATAAAGTGGAGGATCAATTTTATATTACATTCATTATATAAACTTATCCCTCACTTTGAAACCAAGGTAGTTTATATACATTTATATTCCAGAGAATGGAAACACATCTAAAAAGCATGCCTGTGTAGCTAATGATTATTTCATTGAGTGATTGAATCGTTTTCTACGGCTTATCAAACGTTTGTATTTTATTTAAACCCAGAAAATATTTTATAAGCATTTTTCTTTTTTTTTAGATAATCATGATTTAGTGAAACTGGTGGGGAGAGGAGGTGGATTCATACCTTTCCCAAACGTATTTGCGCGTAAGTGAATATAACGACCCTGACTGGAATTGGGACTCGGCTAGGCAATTAGTATTTCCGAGCTGTTATCTTTTGCCCGACCCGCATATCCACATTTATAGCACTTGGTATTCCAAGGTGTTTCAACGTGATTTGACCGTAAGACATTTAATTTTTAAAGGCGAGTAATATATTAAATACTAAAACGGAAACCTTCCACCCGCTTTTAATCAGCATTAGATTAAAGTTATCCTATTTGACGGCATATAAGGCGTATTTTTTTTTTTTTTTTTAAATATCTCTTAAAATACCCCTGCGTCTTACATGCCATATGTAGGTTTAAAATTAGCGATAGTCGACCGAAATTAGCTACCTGGCAACTTCTATTAGCTTAGACTTTAGAGTAACTTTCATATACCTATTGTCATTATTTAAAAGGCTATATTATGCAGATTAAAAGTGTTATCACTGATAATATACATTATATTAATTTCATCACGTTTAATATTAGTACTTTGTTTCACTAAAATTATATGCAATAAATTCAAATTATATATTTGTAAAATATATTTGTTTCATTAATATGATTCTTGCGATAACTTCCGGTTTAGTATAAATACAATCAGAATTTTTATATCCTAATTATTCCACTAAGACGTTTACAAAATGCAGGTTGTAGAGATCATATAAAGGAAAATTTTTGACTGAATTTTAATGCTAACTACTGTTTTGCTCAATTGTAATAATTGCTTGATTTTTATTTTGTTTTCTTACCTTTGTATATAATAAAGATTTGATAGGCCCTAACCAAACCAAACCAAACCAAACCAAACCAAACCAAACCAAACCAAACCAAAAGCAACCTACTATGGGATTTCTCCTGCCAAGTCAATCATGAATCGAAAACATGAGACATGATCGCCTAAGCGTGCATCACGCATGACACCTAAGGGTGAGAGAAAGAAAGGAAAGAAGGAAGAGGCAGAGAGAGAGAGAGAGGGGGAGGGGGGTAAGGGGAGCTAGAGGGTGAAAGAGAGATGTCTTTAATACAAATTGTGTGAATCTATTAATCTCCTTCGACGTGAGAATCTTCTGGTTATATAAATTATATTCCGATGTAGTTTCCAATTAAGTTCCTTTAAGTAATCGGAAAGTGTAAGTTCATCAATCTGATTCTGATTAGACAATATACAAGGCATGAGAATTTGATTCCCTGGAATGACCACAGCGTAACGCTGGGTTAATGAGACAGAGAAATATCTGTATACAGCCTTGTGCAAATTAATTGAAAAAAAAGAAAAAGAATAACTCCGTTATTTTTAAAATCTTTTTGGTATTTTTTCCCAATGACCCAGTGCACAGGTTAGTACTTCCTATGTCCAGTCCACAAAGTCTTTACTTGCAAATTGATCACAAATTCATGATTGGATTTAAATCAGAAGACTTTCCGGTCCAGTCTATAGTACTTTGATTTGATCACTGGTAAGGTTTGCCATTGTGTTTGTGCGCCTCCTAGGTGTAACATCCATCGCAGACCATGACTGTAGGACAACTAATCGACAGTCGAGACAATAGACGTAATAAAAATCTGATGCAATCACAAATGACGCAGTCTTTTTCAAGGCCAAAAAAATTTCATCATGCACCCTGAAAATAGATTCATATTACTGCACACCACTGCAAATGATCTAATCTGAGGAAAAATAGAAATCGGTTACAACCTGTCACTCCAGTAGGTCTTAAACTGACCGTATGTTGAAAGAAAGGAAACTATAGCGGTTGTTTCAATTAATTTGTACAAGGGTGTATGTGCTCGTCCAGATATATTTCCATTTCCAATTTATTGAGACATAGACGAGATGAGTCATTCGTTGTCGAGTAGTAGAGGAAGTTATACGCGTTCATGTTAGTTTGTTGGCGGAAAATGAACGAAAGGAATCTCTAGTATCAAGTTTTGTGTGAAAATTGTTAAAGGTGGTACTTATATATCAGCCCTATTAAGAATAGTTTCTGTTAAATCTGCTATGCGGAGATCAAATGCTTTTGAATGACACAGACGGACATGATAAGGCAAGACGACGGGAACAATGATAGATGAAATGAGCAGCAAGAAACACAAAGAACACATAAATTGAAACTTGATGCAGTCAGATTTAAGATTTAATTTTAGGTATTTCCAAAATTGAAAATTACTCTGATTTTTTTAAAGCATTTCATGCCAAGCGAGGCGGGAGTGTCATTAGTAAGCAAGGGGTTGCACAGAGAACAGGAATAAAGATCTGTGATTGAAGAAAGGATAAAGAGAAGGATAAGGATCAGGATCAAGGCATCAAAAGATGTCGATTGATATTACATTTGAATATTTAAAGATTATAGTTATCAGGGTAGCAATTAAGAGGAAGGGAGTTTCACTGTCGGGAAGTGAGAGAGAAGAAGCAGTTGGAGTAGAACAGGCAGTTGCATTTAAGTGTTTCGACAGTGAAAGGGTGGGACCGATATGCCAACCTAGTAGCACGGTTAAATTCATGCAGATGGGGCACAAGTGAAAGTATCTCGTCAGAGCAGTTGCAATGAAAATATTTGTAGAAAAGACCGAGGGAAGCCACATTACGTCTGTGAGAAAGTGACTGTAGATGAGATGCCAGATCAGGATCACATTGCATATCCATTTCTGGATTTGAAGGATGGACTCAGGCGAGAAAAAAACCTGGCACGACACAGGGAACCAACTTTCCTTGCGGCAGATGTAGCTATTGATTCAATGTAGTTGTTTCATCTCAGGTCAGTGGAAAACATGAGACCAAGAAGGCGCAGAAAGACGCTCTCGTGAAGTTGGCCATCAGCCATGCTGATAGGATTTACTGACACCCAGCAACTTGTGATTACATTACTGAAAGGTATTCTAGAAAATTAGTTCTAACAATGTTTCCAGCAATGGACCTATCTTCTCGTGAAGTAGAAAGCCTCCCAAGAGGAGTCCTTTGAAGCTGATAGCAGCCAACAGTGACCAGGTAACCAAACCCTGCTTTCACAAGGCCATTCTCGGAATTTTTTTCTTAAGCGTTTCACCCCAAGCAAGGCGGGAAGCCACTAGGTCGCAAGGGGTTACAGAAGATTTGGAGCAAGATCAGATAGGAATGATAGAGGAAAGGATGAGGAGAAGGATAGTGGATAGATTAAGGCAACTGGAGATGTCGATTGACATTACATTTGAATAGTTGGAGTTTATAGCTCTCAGGGAAACTGGAATAGGGAAGGGAGTTCGACAGGCGAGAGATGCGAGACATGAAGCTATTGGATTTAAATTGTCACACGAAATATATATATACATATATGGAAATTTGGAAAAATTTGTAACTAGACATGCTTCGCCAATGATCTGGCAATCATCAGAAAAATAATTTTATTTAAATGTTTTGTTGAATAATTTAGACATTTTCTGTCTGCTTATTGTCAATTGGATTCGTTCATATTCACGGATAAGCATTTTGGTGTCGTTATAGAAGGTGATAATTTCCAGGACAAAAAAGCTTGTGATACATGTGATAGCCTGTTGGTAAATGATATTTTTACAACATAAGATTGTGAGCAAACCTACAGCATCAAGATCAAAAGCAGAAAGGCCCTCGCCATAGTAAACAGAGCATGTTTAAACTTGTGGCTCGGCTCCAGGAAGGTTTATAATCTTGGAAATACTCGTAACAGCTAAGTACTAAGTTTAGATGATATAAAAGGCTGAATTAGAAAGATAGCTAACATTATAGTGTAATGATTCAACATACAAATCTACGTCCCTATCAGTCAAGTCAATTAGGTGACCGTCCAAGATTACCTGAGCCTGAGCATTGCCTTACATTCGTCTTTTTACGTATTTTTAAGGGTATCTTTTAGGAAAAATGTGCGTCTTGTAAGCTGGAAAATACAGTAATTATTATTTCGTATTCGAAATGATTTTTTTTTAAATCTGTAGTCGGAATAAAAATGTTCTCGTCTGTTTGCAATTTCTCCGGTTACCGATCTGTGCTTCTGCCCGAGGCAAACTAAACCTGATAAAATCGTGAACATCACCATTAGAGTTGCCATTTTATTGACGATGCCAAAGAACATTCATTTTTCATGACTTTTGCCCAATAATCAATTCTGTTTGGTGCTGCATTTCCCATTTTTCGATCAACAGCGGTAAAAAGCGATTGACCGAAACATTCGAGAATAAATAATGATATTTTCATGCATGTCGTTGCATGAAATTTATCGAAAGGCGACTCAGGTGTGTCTACTTGTTTAGCAAGGAGAAACGGCGAAATAATGCTTATGGAAAATGGAGGATGCCTTTGGCAAATACCTACATGCTATCAAAATCAGCATTATCAAAGCTTCAATTCGAAACAATAGTATTGAGATCGAAAAGGGAACTACCTTCCC